AAAAAGGACAAAATCCTTAATCCTTGTGAGGGTCACAAACAAAATAATGAAGAGAAAAGGCAAATGAGTGTGGCAATACAATGGTGAAAGAACTTTTAGAGCTGAAACTTCATACACTGTTACTGATGTGATTTCTCTACACGAAAAAAACTTTGCAAGAATGGTGGGGGCATTGGGAATGATCTATCTTTTCAGTATCTGTTATTGCAAGGTAAACAACCGCACGAGATGTTGCCGGAAAAATTCGAGTTACTTTGGTTAATCGTCGGCGCATTGTTCGGCTTTTGCATTTGCTCAGTGTGTTGCTGTTGTGCCGAAGCTCTCCATTCCTCGGCTTTTCGATGAACGATCATCATTCTTTCATTAATTTCTCCTCTAGTTTTGATCTCATCTTTTGGATTTTCACCTACAAGATGAGAAGTTAATGTTGATCAACTAAATGCATCAGTTGTACATGATTAAATATACTCTAGAGCTTAATGAAAAAATTCGAGTTAATAAGTTCGGATTAAGCTTTGAAGTATAGTCCAATTAGCATATTCAGTTGATGAACAGCGTCGAATGTTCCGATATGGTGACGGCAATAGGAACCGGTGGTAAAGCCGAGAAAGATCGAGTAAGTACCTCGAGCTTTCTTGATTGAGCTTCTGCTTTTGCACTTTGAAGGTTCACCCAAGCTTGGATTTTTGCTTCCTCTCTTTGGTACCTATGACCCGAATAATAGTCGTTACTGAGATGCTACATAACTAAGACAATGATCAAATGTATTTTACCTCTTTACCTCATGCAACATTTAGTCCTTTCCTCTTCTTCCCATGAAGGAGTTCTCGAATCCGAAACACTTCTCCGGCACGCACTGCCGGTCTCAAAATGCCTAAGGCTCTTCACACGTCTTCCTCCTCCTCTTCCCTCGAGCTCCAGTTTGATGTGATGGAATCATATTGAGACCCAGTTGTAACTTAGCTAGATGACACTCTTGCATCTGTAAGATGTCAATTGTGCTATTAGAACTATTCGAATCGGCGGAATTCAATGGACCTGACCGATTAGCCGGCGTGTTATGTCGCACGGGCGACGAGCTCTTGCACGGCGTATGGCATCTAGAAGTCATCGAACTTCCGAGTGGAGTCATCTCGGTCCCAGCGTCCTTATGTTTGACTTCATGGAACACGTCGGTGCCTGCATCTTTCATGGTTTCACTGGCTGAGTTTTGGAAAAGAAACCCTTCTCTTGAGGGCTCTGAACATCTGAAATCCGGCAAAATCGGTTCTATTTCATCTGTGAACTTATCTACATGATCATTGCATCAAAACAGATGTGATTCTAAAGCCAAATTGTATTCATCAGCTCACAATTAAAACGGTAGACCACATGTTCCATTAAATGTATTTAGATTCTACCTTTTAGAAAGACATCAACGGAGCCATGGTGTCCCAATGAAACTGACCCTTTAAAGCTCGAGACAACCTTTGAAACATTCTCCTCAGTTACCCTTGATTTCTCAGAAAAAAATTGACCTTGTTTAAAGTTATCACTTTGTTTAGCCACCTTGGACGACTGTGCAGGTGGCGGCCTAATGGCGAGAGCAGGAGAGTCATGGCTAGAGCTGCTGCTGATTAGCCATTTCTCTGCATCATCCCACTTTGAAGGAAAGCTTTTTCTACCACCGCCGCCGCCACTGAAGCTGAAAACAGGCCTACCTGGTGTAGAAGGAGCTTCATAAACTCCCCTTTTTGTTGTATCTGAGTACACCCCAACTCGCCTCCTCTGCGTTGAAACATCCAAACCCGACATTGGAAAAGACTTGACAAACTCAGATGTCTCCTTGAGATTGAGCTTGCAAAGTGGGTCTGAAAACGTGTCTGAAAATGGGTTATCATTACTCTCCATAGCCGGTTCCTGGATCACATGAAACACAATTCATTAACTGCATTAAAAAACAAAAAACACAAAAGAATGCAACAAATGTGGGATCTTTAAGCTCAAAATACCCCATTAGAAAACAAAAGTGGAGCTTGGAAGTACTCGGGGCTTGCAAGATCCATGCTTTTTGTTGAAGATGAACTGGTTTTTCTTGGTCAAATGGGGTTTCTTTTTCTTGAAAACTAATAAGTCAATATAAACTGATGCATGTGAAAGCGATTGCAGTTTGAAGTTTGAGCAGACAATGGAGTTAGCTAAACAAGGCAAAAGCTTAGACCAGTAGAGACCTATGAACCAATGAACTACTGTTTCATAAGCCCCACAGGCCACATGGGCTGGATAAGTGAATAACAATTAAACAAAAGCTATATATATATTACCATTTCAAAATGAAACAACAGTGACACATTGTCCTAATCTCACAAATTTATGTAAAACAAGCTAGGAGACGAAATAGTACTTCATCAAAAGAAGAGGAACTTCGGGAGCTAAACATAATTTAATACTACAAAAGAATGCACAGAAAATTATATAAAAGGGATAAACCAAACTTTTACTCCTTGAATTTAACAATTTATTGCAACTTAGTCCCTGAACTTGGCCTTTTGCGACACAATATGTGTCAGAAGGACTAAAGAAAAGTTACAAGTTCAGGGCTAAAAGTTGCTTTATACCTTTAATCCTGGACAACTGAGCTAAAAAGGAAAGGGAATGGACAAGGTGAATCAACATTTTATTGGTTTGCCTACATGCTTCTTTTGTATTCTTTTTGAGAAGCTTCTTAATTGGATTTCATCTCCACTTTAGAGCGTGAGCATTTCACAATCCATAGCTCATAAGCTGTTGAATTTCAGGTAAGCATTAGTTAAAAACTTCGAAACAGTTTCTTTGCGAAACATCCGTAATCCATTTCCAGTTAATATCCGAACACGAACACTAACACGAATATGAAAATATGACCCTTTGGGAATGACATTTCAAAAAAAAAAAGACCCTTTGGGAATGAGGCATCTCTTTCAAAAGTTCAAAGCCAGCATTATTGTCAGTTTGACATATGCTGTGTAGCTTAATACAGTACAATAAGTGTTACAGTGTTGAGTACTTTTGTTCATTAATATGTGTGTCTGTATACAATAATGTTAGACTTTTGCCTTTCGGTTCCTATCTGCAGAAATCATCAAAGCAATTGAAGATGTATTTAAGCACCCAATTTGTTGAGATTCAAAGCTATTAATGGTTGATGGTTAACAAGGCAATCAAATTCAAAGAGATATAGGTTGCATATGGTGTCCTTTAATTCTTTGTTTTGGTTGAGATCTTACGTTAAGTTATAACTTTAAAAACAGGAGGGTTAAAGTAAATTTCAGTCCCTGAATTTGTCATTTTTTTCAATTTGATTCTTAAATATTTTCTTTTTGTAATCAATATTAGTCTTTGAACTTGATAAGTTTTATCCTATTCCACGTAACACGTTCTCAGAGTGTCACATCATTTAAAAGCCTAAAAATAATAAATAAATCCAAATTGAGTGACTAATGTGGACCAAAACAAGATATAGAGATCAAGTTGGTAAAGTTGATAAGTTTAAATATTAAAAGTTGATTTATTTGAAATAGAAGGGTGTAGAAACGAATTTGACGTCCGGGATTTGAGTTTTAAGTAGGGATGGGCATGGAACCCGATGGGTTTCGACCCGATCAGGTCTGACTTTTTTAAAAAAAATCGGGTTCGGGTCAGGTCTGATCGAGTTTTATATTAAAATATTCGCAGTCAGGTTTAGAGTTAAAATAATCTTACCCGACCCGACTCGAATAGTTAATGCATAATTATTATTATTTTACTTTTTTTACTCTACTTATTCCTACTCATGTGCCAGCAACTTCTAGTCCGGTAGATATTTCAATGGCAGCACAAGAAACCAGCAACTTTAATGATTGCTAGGCCCAATCCTTTCATGTCCTTCTGCTTTTCCACTCCTTTTTATTTTAGTACAAAATGCAAGACCAAGCGTGATATTAGGGCGTGCATTACACTTATCAATGAAATTGATTCCAACAATTATTTTAGGTATTTTTTATATTTTAAATTAAAAAATTTTGTGGGATTTAATAAATAAAAAATTAAATCGGTCGGTCGGGTTTTTTTAATTGTCTATCGGGTCGGTTACGGGTGGAGTACCCTTTCTTCTCGGGTCGGGTGGTCCAAAAACCCGACCCGACCCATGTCCATCCCTAGTTTTAAGATGAAAAAAGAATAACTACATGTTTGATCACTTATCTATTCTAAAATTTGTTTTAGTCACCCAACTATTTTTTTTCAAGATCATCCTAAAATTTTATTTTATTTCTATTTTAGTCACCCGATGTTAAATTTGACCATCGAGTCAACAAAAACGATAACGTGAGATGGTATAATAATAATTTAGTCTCTAAAATAACAACATTAACAGTCTATCCCCGAAAAAAAATTCAAGATCCACTCGACTCTATAATTAACATAAAGAGTTGGCTTCATACTAAAGAGAAAGAAAGAAAATGTAGAGTTGCACAGGGTGCAACGTGGTCCAGCATTTGCTTGAAGATGGAGTTAACCAGGTTTAGGTGATAGCTGTAAGATATAGCCCAAAACCCACCGGATAGCTCAACCATGGGTTCCTAAAAGAAGTGAAAATTCCAACCTACACCTATTGATGTGTGTTTTGGCCCATTATAATGTGAATGATCGAATGCTACAATCATTTATGTATACAACATAAAGGAAAACAGTGTTCTTTTTTGGCATTTTTGGCTGGATAGCTCCATCCCAATTATCCTCCCCTACACAGCTTGTGAAAGAAATAAAAGTAGTTTCTAGATCCCCTAAATAAGATAAGAGTTTGAATATTGACGTTGTAAATAAAACTAACCGGGTTAAAAGAGTCCCCCCATAATGAAACTTTGTAGTATTATACAAGCGTGGTTTAACAAACAAAAAGGAATAAAAGGGCTTTCAATCACATAAAACGGCTTGATACTTTTCCTGTAAATTCATACCTAAAATAGCTCAATAAAGCCCCCAAAGATGTGATTGGATGGAGGAGCAAATAATGGAGAGAGTAATCCCAATAAACACTCCATCATTTGCCTCAACGTGTCACCTGCAAAACCAACAAGCCAATCCATAGAGATGCAAATCTCATCCTTCATTTTTAGTACATAGCTCCAAGATCCCATGTTGTCACCATTATCAATACCTTATTTAAACTATGAAAAAAACCACCACTTCAATCTCCAAATTTGTCTCAACATAACAATGTCTTTAGCAAGCTCCTTTCCTCGTCATGTTCCGGTTACAGCTTTGAGTTCACCAGCAAACCATGGCAACAAGATCGTGATGCTGAGGAAAAAACAGGTTTCGAACAAGAAAACACCCATTATTCAGATCAAATTCTTCTCCAAGAACAAGGTCACGATGCTTGTTTAGTGTGTTTTTTCAGGACATAACTGGCAAAACTTGTGTTCCATGTTTGTTTTCATCTGCAACTTATCTCCAACATGAATTCTTGAATGTCTGCTTTGCAGGTTTTTGAGGATCAGTCTGAAGGTGTAATCTGCTATAGAGATGAAAATGGAGAAATGGTTTGTGAGGATATGATGAAGGCCCTCGATTTCGTCAACGAACATTCTATCATCTTAGGTAATCACGTTGACATCAATCCCGAGATTGAATACCCGAATTACTGACCGTGTTTGTCATTGTTGAGCTGAATTCAGACATGTTGAGATCCTTGATCTCCTTCAAGATAGATGGCTTCAAATTGTTAATGGTGTCAATGATTTTTAACAAGTTCCACTAATGCAAGACTCTGTGTTGAATCTTCAGTCGATATCAATCCGGAGATCGAATAATGTAAAAAGCAAAAATCTCTTCTATTGTAATCGATCACTTTGTTTTACAGTATGATGGAATATGTGCTAGTTTGTTCGAAAATTTCATGCAAGGGTCACTAAATATTTGACCTATGACAGAAATTCTCATGGCTTAAGCAAAAAAATATATGAATTTTTTCTTCTCTTTTGTTGTGTAAATGGAAATCAATCTTATGATCAAAGGAAAACAGAATGGGAGAGACGAACTCTGAGAATTTCAATTCATTCATGAAATCACTTGAAGGTGGTCCCGTGTTGTCCGTTCTCTTCGCCTGTATCCGACTGAGATTTGCCTGATGTGGCAGGAGAGGACCACTGATCTGGGATCATTAGAAAATACGTAGCCATTGCTTTCCGGAACCTTTTTTGTATTGCTTTGGTGATATTACAGTAGGTGATGCGTTCTTCGGTCCACCGAGGATGCCGGAAGCCTTCACCCAAGTTTCAAGATGCTTGTCCCAGGTATACTGCCTCATGTAGTCGATGATTCCGACAACTAGCTCGTGCTTTTCCTCATCCACTCCAACTAGTAACGAGTAATCCATCACGTCGCTTGCCTGCAAGGTTGAAAAGATAAAGAAATAAGAAAAACGGAACGTAGTCATAATCTAAACTAGAAATTAATGTCATGCAGATTGATCTCCAGGCCAGAAAACTTACCGCAAGAAAAGCAGTGTCATTCCAGATTGCTCTTTCCAACAACCGCTTTGCTTTATTACTCACGAAAATCGGGGAAGTTCGCATTGACTCAATCAAGTTCTGATCTAGCAGAACCTTGGTGCTTCCACTAGATTGGGGAACATAACGAGATCTAGATCCTTTGAGATCATATTGCCGCGTGACAATTCGTCCGAACAGAACATTCTCCATAACCAGAACATCCATCTTTGCCTCTTTCCCACCTTTAAGATGCTTTGCCGAAACCTTTCAACAGAAATCAACAATAGAAAGAAACAATGATCACAGAATCCACAATTATCATCATTCGACCGAGATAATTATAAACTTGAAAGATGGACTACGTCAGGGTTATTCCATCTAGTTGACCAAAATTAGATTAATGGTTATCGTATGTAGCATTAGAGTGTATGAAGCAATAGGAACAAGCACCTGATAGATACCAAGAATCTTTGCCAGGCATGTCGGACTTCGAGAACTAATTGATTCGGACATGTACTTGAAATATCCAGGTGCCGTTTTTATAAATGATTCCAACTCTGTCTTTGTGACTTGCTTAACGATAAAACGATCATCTGAGGTTTTCGCAAAGAAAACGTTGCTCTTGCCACCCTGAGCTTTCCACTTCCTGCAACGACTCAAAGACCTTATAAAATCAAGCTCTGATGGGCAACACATTCTCCTTAATGCCTCGAATCTCTTTGCATAATAGCATGTAACAGTAAATTTCACTTTATCAGACGATCCATCATCTCCGAAAGACACCTTTACATGCAAAGACTTTGTGGGGAAGAGTGGATCCATATTTGAGCTGCGAGATCCAATAATGTTATCGGTTGGACCAAGACTTCTATGAGAATCAAAGGTCATCTCGTTAAAAGAAAGTGACGATTGAATCAGTGATTCAGGGAACGATAGTGATGCTGTTAAATCCCCACTTTCTTTAGGCCTATCGCCATCATCACTTACCTGGAAATGATATTCGGGTGATGCTAAAGCGTATGATATCATACTTGTGGGCTCATCATCATAAACTGGAATAACAATGTCATTAAAGCCTACCGGCAAAAGCAGTCTAGCTCCGTCTTGCACTTCCAATTGTCTATATGATGAAATATAGATTGGATCATATTCGGTAAATGTATCAAGCTTGGAAGCATTGCCTAAAAGGTTTTTGTTCAAGGAGCGGTAGAAGCTTAAGAAAGGCATTTTTAACCAGCTTACAGCGTCTTCTGTATTTTCAGAGCTTTTAGAGGACCATACCGGAGAAAGAGAATGAAAAACCTTCGGCTCAATCTTTCCTTCAGAGTGAACTTCCAAATCTAAACCGTCTGTTACTGAATCCGCAATAGCAATATCGAAAGCAGCAGAATCAGAAAGAGAACACGAGATATTGTTTGGTACTACAGCTGCTTGCTGAATTTCCCCAGTCCAAGCAGCTTCGAGGGTATCTGACAAATTTTCTATGACAGGAAACTGGCCTTCAGACAAGGCGCGGCGAACATTTGCCATAGGTTTCTCACATTCCAGTCGCTCATACATGCTCTGCGTATCAGAAAGAATACCATAGTCTTCGTATACCGCGTTTGAAGTTGCACTCGTATCTGGTTCTTGATGTACCAAGTCTGAGTGATTAGTGTTGCCATTTAATTTTCCTTGTTCAGAGCCCCTGTCAAGCTTTGCATCCGCAAGAGCAAAGTCGCAGCATTCACAGCCTTTTCCAAGTTCCAGCATATTGATGTCCTGGAGGTTATAATTTTCTAAATTGGTTGCAAAAACCAGGCGATGGTCCACATATAAGATTGGAAAAGTAATTGCCGCCGCAACCGGTTAATTTCAAGAATGTCAATAGCAAGTTCCCCTTTTTTCACTTCCCTTTTCAAAGCCTTTTGCAATGATTCCTGAACCAAATCCAAGAACAATGAGAAACCAGACACTAAAAACAGCAATGAATATATTCGACATCTGCTAAAGCTCTATTCTTTAACAGAATTATATTGATACATGCAAACGATAATCACAATGGACCTCCACAAATTCTAACTTTTCAAAAACATTTTCTTATATAATTTCCCTGTCTCACATGAAACTCCATTTGCTCCTTTTGTAACATTCCTTCAAGCTCAGCAATTTGATGTCTCAGTTCAGGTGTTTTCGTGATACTATGAGGTGCCCCAGCCACAATTAATTTATCTGTAATTTTACTTAGAGAATTATGTACTTCAGAAAACATATGTTCTGCCCGGTCAGCCACCTGTTTTCGATAATAAGATCAAATATATTAGTCAACTGCAGAGAGATCGATATCGGCTACTTAAAAAACCAAAACCAATATCCGCACACCTTATCTGTCTCTTTCTGTATCCAATCCTGATTCTCAAAGTCAAAATTAACTTTTGAGGGAGGAAGGTAGACAGAATGGACGTCAATTGTAGCATACCGAAAGCAAGCAACCATTCTCCCCAATCTACATATATTTAAACAATGAATAGTCAATTCATTTGAACATTCACAATGTCCTTAGGGCTAATTTTAAATCAAACAAGTGGTGAATTATAATTATATGTCAAGAGCCTGCACAAAGCTGTCTTTTAGCATATTTTGAATGAGGCAACTATTTGTACATATATGATATCTGGTTAATACGTATGAAGATTATAGGAAACGGACCCGTAGAAACGAAGACAATCTCTATGTAAAGAATGGCCACAGCTTGCAACCCGGCTTGCAGCTGCATGGTTTGAAAAACTAAGCTCCAAAAACTTCCCAAAAGATAAACCCCAAGCAGCATCAGACATCACTATTCTCTGTGGGTCGGAGGCAAGCCATTGGCCCTGGTACATCGCATGCATCTGTGCCACATCCAAATTTTGCCCAGTCTTTCACCAGATAAGAAATTTTCAGAGAGTTTCTTAACAGATATGGTGAGGGTTCCTTGTTGATGACTATAACAGTGAATGTGTGCTTCCGAAGGCAAATCACATGAATGGCATCGGTAACTCTGAAAAATTAATGATATCCGTAGTCTCAAAAGAACTTTTGGGGTTTGTAAAATGCAATATATAAATGCAAGGGGAAAAAATATTTACCTGATCCAACAAATCATCCCGTAAATACCGACCCAAAGGTTTATCAAAGCTGCCATAGTACTTGATTCGAAAGAGATGGGACCTCTCGCAGACACTCCCTTTCCACACGCATCGAGATGATAAAGAAACCAAAATGCTCTGGTTGTCTTTTGGTGTTGATGGAAATTCTTCTTTCAACGGTTTTGACTCCTCAGAATGGTTATTAAGGTTATTACTATCTCGTTGCTCAGAAGATGACTCTGAACCACCTAGCTGAAATTCAACTTCTGTGCTATGATTTCTTGGTCAATGTGTGCCATAGAAAATTGCCCCAAAGAATATAATCGTGCAGGACTACTAAAATTGAGATCATTATTCAAGAAAGCCGACTCCCTTGCCTCAGCAAAAACTTCTATCATTGAAGATACATTGGAATCCATATAATTTTTGTCGGAAAAGGCATCTGAAATAACTTTTTCAGAAGGAGACGATGAAAGCGCAGTGAATTCTAAAGGGGGTGGACTTGAAGACAATAAGCTTGTCCCATTAGGTAAAGTGGGAACATCGTTAGCTCTTTGGTGATCCTGGGACATTTTATCAGAAGGAACAGTAAAACCAGGAAAGGTTGATATGGACCTTGAAATGCTGGATGGTTTATCCATAAATGATGTAGAAATCGGATTGTCCAACGGCAATCCTGGCAGAGATGCTCCTTCATCAGCAAGAAACGATGTCTCCAGAGCCAAGTGATAAGCTGCAAAAATTCCATATTGGACCACATGCTTGACTTTCTTCAATTCATCTCCACTTGCCCCCCTAAGTAATATCTGAAGCAAACATATACATGCAAGCACACAGTTTAGACTAATTCAATGATCCATTACTTACAAATTTATATAGACCAACACTGTTGGGAAAAGAAATATTATCACCAAAAAAACTAGGTGTAAATTTTAATTTCATCTACTCCTATATTCTACTATTAGTTTTTGATAACTTACAGTGCAACCCAATGGCTTAGGGCAGCCCTCAAAATACATTAATGTCTTGGTCAATTTCTTCCCTCCTTGTCCAGCAGAACCAAGATCTTCGACGAACCTCTCAACATGAAATCTTTCACAGTAACCCATCTTCTGGGAAGAGAGAAGATCAATCGAAGGGATTATTTGAGAGCCTGTACAGCGTGCAATGCGCTCTAACAATGTCCTCTTGACATTGAGAACAAGTGATATATTCTTTTCAAGAAGATTATCCTGGACGAATCGGGAAACTGATTTCTCTACCAGAAGGATGTTGGGCTGCTGTGCAAGTATCTTTGCTACTGCCATCTTCAAATGG